TGTAACTCAAAGTGATAATTGGTGTAGTGTTTTAAAATCTTGTTTTATCTTTTAAAGTAATATTAATTTTCAAATTGTGTAGTTGTACATTCTCCTTTTATCCTCTTTCTTTTGTTACATTAGCTAATTAGTTGTTGTAAAATATCGTCTTTTTTTTGTTTGTCATCTCATAAGAGTTCCCAACATTAAAAAATAATAAAATAAATAAAAAAAAATAGCTACAGATCTAATCTTGAAAAATATAGTTGTAACTTGTGTATTAAAAAAGAAATAATTATAATTAAAATAAATAATAATTAAAATAAAAAATGTCGTGCCCTTTCGAATTGTGTAATATTGATAGCATTGGTTTCAATTATAATGTATTGGTTTTCTCCGAAACTTGGTTAAAAACATCTATATTAAATAGTGAAATTTTATATTCAAAATATCAAATATTTAGAAAAGATCGTGTTTGTAAAAAAGGTGGTGGCGTCCTTATTGCAGTTGATACCAAATATACCACTAATTTAATTGATCTAAATGATTTTCTTGATATAGAATTTGTTGGTATTTCCATCTTCACTTGACATTTATAATCAGCATTTATCAGCAATAAATTTAATCACAGTGGGCCATTTTATGTTTCCCTCTAGAAAACACTTGACTTTAGGAAAAATATTTTTTAAAAAAAATCTGCCCGAAAAATCTTTCAGGAGTGTTTATATATTGAAATTACACCTCATGGGCTTTCCAACGTGCTATTCCATGAGCTTGCACTATTTTTAGTTTTCGCACAGGGGGACTCGTTGATGACTTTTGAAAAATAAGAAAAATCGATTTTTCTCTAATTTTCCACGATCGATTTGGCCAAGTAATAGCGTTTTAGAAAGCTCTTGGAACGACCTTTCCTGCAGTACCATTCATATGCGTGCACTATTTTTTATTGCTGCACAGTGGGCCATTTTATGTTTCCCTCTAGAAAACACTTGACTTTAGGAAAAATATTTTAAAAAAAAAATCTGCCCGATTAATCTTTCAGGAGTGTTTATATATTGAAAGTACACTTCATGGGCTTTCCAACGTGCTATTCCATGAGCTTGCACTATTTTTAGTTTTCGCACAGTGGGACTCGTTGATAACTTTTGAAAAATAAGAAAAATCGATTTTTCTCTAATTTTCCACGATCGATTTGGCCAAGTAATAGCGTTTTAGAAAGCTCTTGGAACGAGCTTTCCTGCAGTGCCATTCATATGCGTGCACTATTTTTTATTGCTGCACAGTGGGCCTTTTATGTTTCCCTCTAGAAAACACTTGACTTTAGCAAAAATATTTTTAAAAAAAATCTGCCCGATTAATCTTTCATGAGTGTTTATATCTCGAAAGTACACCTCATGGGCTTTCCAATGTGCTATTCCATGAGATTGCACTATTTTTAGTTTTCGCACAGTGGGACTCGTTGATAACTTTTGAAAAATAAGAAAAATCGATTTTTCTCTAATTTTCCACGATCGATTTGGCCAAGTAATAGCGTTTTAGAAAGCTCTTGGAACTGCCTTTCCTGCAGTGCCATTCATATGCGTGCACTATTTTTTATTGCTGCACAGTGGGCTATGTAACTTTCTTCCATTAAAAAATAATCGGTATGATGACGAAAGTTTTTTATTGAAACACCTTTAAATTAGTTATTTTATTTTTTTATACTTATAATTATGTTCATTATCAGGTACAAACAAGAATAAATACAAATTTAAAAAAATTGCATTTTTCTTTCGCATCTTCAAAAATCGTTTTTATTTTCCGCATATCTGTTATACACTGTTATACAACAGAAAGTGCGCCCAGACTGGGTGTTGTCTTCGCTAGTTAAAATCGTTTTTATCTTCACGCACATTTATACAACAGAAAGTGCGCCCAGACTGGGTGTTGTCTTCGCTAGTTAAAATCGTTTTTATCTTCACGCACATGGGTAGCGGTCAAGTATGGAACCGCCGAGGTAGAGGTGCTCAACGTGTACATTCCGCCGTTAAATAGCTGTGCCCCACGTTATATGCCTAATATCAGTTCACTACTAGTAGACAATAACCGTCTGGTGCTAGGGGATTTCAATGCCCATCTTGAATTATGGCATTCCATCCTAGGTAATGACCAGGGAGGCATGGCGCTGGCTGAGCAAATTGATAGCTCCACGTTTTGCACAGTGAATGAGGACGCGCCCACCAGAATAAGAGGAGATTGCCACAGTTCTCCGCACATATCCATCGTGTCCCCAGGTCTGACGAATGACGTAACTTGGCAATCAGTCATTTTTCTAGGCTTTGACCACCTCCCCATTATTATCGCCATCAACAGACCACCCGACTTCATTGACCCTGAACGCCGCACTTTCCTTAACCATGGGAAAGCCAATTGGCAAGAATTCAGAGAGTATACCAATCGCCGCTTCAGAGAACTGCCCAACCCATCTGATGTTCAGGTAGCAGATAGGTGTTTCCGGGACATCATCAAAGCTGCAGCCGCTCGCTATATACCTGCTGGTCGAATACCTGAAATAAGACCAAATTTCCCAGCAGAGGCAGCGGGATTAGCAAACGAGCGAGATGAGCTTCGCCGTACTAACCCTAATAACCCCAGAGTCAGGGAACTTACTCTGGAGGTATACAGGTTAGTAGGTGTGCATAAGCGGATAAAGTGGTTAGAACATCTGAAGCATTGCAACATCAGTACCAGAACGAGTAAATTGTGGGCAACGGTTAAGTCGCTCCCGAACCCTGGGAAATAGGACGATCGGACATCTGTCTCATTCAACGGCGTAGAAGTGACAGATCCGAAGAGGTGCGCGTGTTATTTTAACCGGCAGTTTGTAGAGCACCCCGAGAGTGACAGGGCGAAGAGAAGGATCCTACGCCGTATACGATCCCTTCCAGCCGAGGAGGTACCACCACAATTTACGTTGGCAGATGTTGCACAGGTCATCAGAAGCGCAAAGTCATCCAAAACGCTTGGTCCTGACGGGATCTCAATGGTGATGTTGAAGCAACTGGATGAACCAGGAGTTGAGTATCTTAAAAAGCTTCTCTATCTGTCGTTAGCCACCCTGGTAGTTCCCGATGCCTGGAAAATGGACAGGGTGGTCCCGCTACTGAAGCCAGGCAAGGATGCCAGCAAAAGTGATTCATACAGGCCGATATCACTTTTGTCACCAGTAGCAAATACGCTTGAAGCTTTAGTCCTCTCCAGCATAAGAGAGTGTTTCCCAGTAGCCGATCATCAACACGTATTCCGAAAATTGCACAGCAAAACAACAGCTTTACACGCCATTTCCACACATGTCAGCAGAGGTCTCAACCAGAACAGGCCGTGCGATAGAACAGTTATGGTGGCACTTGATTTATCAAAAGCCTTTGATACAGTCAATCATGCCACACTGTTCGAGGACATTGAGCGCACCACCCTCCGGCCTAGTTTGAAAGGTTGGATAGTAAACTACGTGTGTAGACGCCAGTCGTACGTGGAATTCAGAAACAAGAAGTCGAGCATCCGTAGAGTTAAACAGGGAGTTCCCCAAGGTGGGGTGATATCTCCGGAACTGTTTAACCTCTACCTTTCTGACATTCCACGCCCTCCAGACGGCATAGAGATTATAACGTACGCAGATGATTGTACGCTCGTGGCGTCCGGACCCATTATTGATGACATTTGCGATCGGTTAAACGCTTACCTTGTTGATCTTATCGCCTTTTTCACTGCGAGGAATATGAAGATATCCGCCACTAAGTCGACGGCCACACTTTTCACTACATGGATGCGGAGATGGGGCTATCCTTGAATGTGCAGGTCGATGGTGCTATTATTCCGACCACCAACTACCCCAAGGTATTAGGGGTCACATTCGATAGCCTCTTTAAGTCGTCCGCGCATACCACAGCTATCTGCGACAAGTTTAGAAGTAGGGACAAGGTCCTTAAGTCTCTGGCCGGCAGTACTTGGGGAGCTGATAAGAAAACCTTGTTGACCTCTTACAACGCGATAGGCCGGTCTGTGATAAACTATGCGGCTCCAGTGTGGTCCGCCAACGCCAGTGGTACTTAGAACCGCAACAGCGTGCCTTCTCATGACACCTGTCGATCACCTACATGAGAAGGCGAAGGTCTTACCGGTGCGACAGCATAACAAAATGCTGTCAATGCAATACCTGCTTGGGTGTTATAGACAAAGCCATCCAAATCACCATCTTGTGGATAGGCAACCTCCGCCCAGGCACGTTAGGAAAGACCTTCATGATCTAGAGAAAGAGGTACAGAGGGATAAGAGAGAGCCTCTAGATCAACAGGCCTATCAAGCGGGACTGAATAGTATTCACTCTAATGCGGTCCCAGAAGCCATTCCAGGATATAGAGTGAATACTGTGCTTGGAGACCATCCCCCTCCCGTCGCAGCTGAAGAACGAGAGCTGCCCCGACAAATTCGAGTAGTTTTGGCTCAATTACGATCCGGATGGTGCAGCCGCCTAAATTCCTACTGGGCACAGCATGTGGCACAGGCCCACATGACACGCTGCACCTATTTCGCTGCCCAGCCAAGCCTACTCACCTAACTCCAGTCTCGTTATGGACACAACCCATACAGGTTGCATCCTTTTTGAGGCTGGACTTATAGCCAGAACCTGATTGAATTGAATCAGAAAATGGAAACCGAACGAACACAGATGTATGAGCTGCTACAACAACAACTAGTGTTTTTATGATAGTGTCTCAAATACGACGGACTTCATAAATCTTGTAAAGTTTAACAAAGTCAACTCTGAGAGTGCCTTTTTTCTCTATTTCAGCGCATGAAATAAACCCAAACCAATTCATAAAACATTTTGTTGTTGTTGTTTATAAGAGATATTCCCTGTAAATCTTTTTTGGGCGTATGTGGAATACATCATTGAGCAATCCAATTCCATACTACAGTCTCACACCTCAATTTGTTTTTCTTGTCCGTCCGTTCACTTATCATAATAAAAAAAAACTCACGCAACGAATTTTTGATCCCTTCCAATCGCTAGAAGATGATGTTGTTTCCCACAGGTGTGCCATTTAATTGATATGTGTCAAAGTATCGGGCTGTGCTCCCAGGTATCCTAAGGTACATATAAAGGTAGAATTAGTAAGAAGCAAATAATAGTATAAAAGAAATAAAAAAACGTTCAAATGACAAGCACAAAATTTTAACGAATCGGTTTTCGGACGTCAGTTTTTAATTAAAAAGTAAATATTCTCTAAAATTGAATTTACTAGCAATTACCTTTATGCTTATGTTCTAGGCATAAATACTGGGTATCATTTCACGATACCGAACAAATTCGTCTGTTCGTGCAACAACAACAATCAATATCTGAAGGTTGGTGTCCACAAGGGGAATATGTGTAGCACTTCATTTTTAATTACCTTGTAATTTGCTTAGCTGCCAACAACTTTTATGTCAAAATGTCACCCCATTAGTAACCTGAAATAGTAAAGACGATATTAAACATAAATTTTTAATAGTCACCATAGAACAAAAACAAATTGTACTTACCTGCTTAATCCACCCCAATTTACTGGCGTGCTCGACCACCACTCAGGAAAATGATAACAACCGCACATACATATTTGGATGTGTGTGTACACATTGAGACACCGTATTTTGTGCGCTAGCACAAACCCACAATCGACCAACAAGTTAGTTTCATTAATGAAATTTTGAGACATGTAAAGAAAATTTTCAGATTAAAATGTGTACGAATAAATAATTTTACAACTGCTTACCTCTGTCCTGTCCACTAAAGAAATGTCCGTGATTCTAGCTGGTAGCATGCATTTCCTTAAGGTTGGCATATCCCGATTTAAATACAGCTTTATTTCAGTCATCACTGAGAGATTTTTCAAAATACTATTCCATAGGTCATGCACATCATCATTTCCAGTGTTTGCCTTGGAAATGTTGAAGTTTGTTGCATGTGACCCAGAAATGTTTAAATTTTAATAAATTTATTACCAGCACCTTTGTGTATAGTTGCTGTCTTCCTTGGTCGGCGAAAAAATGAGAGAGCCGGATATGCGAAGTGGCCGGGTCATGCACAGAATTTCAGCGTTGCCACCCATCACTGTAAGTGGAGCGAAGAATGCAACTATGTAGGGTGTATGGATATGTAGGTGCGGTTCAAAGGAAAAACGAATAAACTGATGAAAAATCCGCGAAAAATTTGAAAAGAGGGAAAAACTGGCATCAGTTTTTGCCCTATAAAAAGGCGTAGCGGGGAAAATTTCGTGAATGCGTCTTGTTCTGTTGTGGAAAAATACCATTTGTCCGGGAATTAAGCCATCGTCAAAATAAAATAACAGTGGAATATTTGTTGAATTTAATGTCAAATTGTGGTTGTTTATTTGTGTTCGTTTTGGATAATTTAATTTATGTGTACGTGCGAACAAAATAGTAAAGTCGCGCCAACTATAGCCCCGAACAAGAAATATTGGCTCCTCCAGACTTCTTCCGGGAGGTGGTCAGCTTTGGCAAAAACCCGGAATTTCTGGAAACCCGCCAGGATAAACAGCTGCCCAATTTGTGTTTAAATTTGTTCCCGTGATTGTCTTGTTTGGCTGATGGAAACTGGCCTTGTTTGAGTTAGCAGCAACAACCATTTTGATGTCTTTTGCCTAAAAGGAGAAAAAGTCGATAAGTACCGGCAATAAAAAGGTAAAATTATACATTTTTTCATTCTTATCTAACAAGCCGAGATTCTCCTGTAAAAAATTGGCAGTTGCCTCCAATTGCCGTTCAGAATTAAGCGCCAAATGCTTCCATGGCGCGCTGACGAAAAAAATCTGAAAATTTAACAAAAAAAGAAATAACATTAAATTTACATTGAATTGAGACATTAAAAATCACAACAAACAGAGACGAACAAAATAAGAACAATTATATTTATGTTTTAATGTTAAGTTAAGTGTGAATGTCCATTATTAGTAAGTTAGTATATAAGGTTCATTTGTTGAGTTGGATTTTTTAACACCCAGTTAAAGAAAGTGAGTGTAGGGTTACCCCAAGAGAATGGGACCATTTAAATATTTTTTTGCATGGACTGAATGGTGATGTCCAAAAATAATTAATTGCTGAATAATGGATCATGAAAATTAAAGGTGCTAGGAATTCCAGAATTAAATTTGTTTTATTTAGACTTTGTAATTATGATTAAGACGAAATTATAGTAAATTGTTTAATATGTTTAGTAATATGAACTTCTAATTGTTTCTTGTAAGAGAGGGATCTAGGTTGTATGTAACTAAGTGGTAAGTGTTAGTGGGTTTTGGGGCCCTTTAAAATTATCAATTATTTATTCTGGATCAAAGGGTCAAGGATGGGCGGGCAAAATGTGGGAACCAAAATACCAAGTTCTTTTGTCATGGTTGTATGTCGTGTTTGTTGTTTTATTTTTATTGGTTTTTGTGTTCATTTTCTGTTTACTTTTTAATTGTTCGACGCCTAGTGCTGATGGTGGAAGGGTTGAGAACCCCCTGACAAAAAATGTGCCCCGATTGATCTTGTCGGAACCCCACCATGCACCGCGTCAAGCAGCTACAATATGTCGTCTAATTCAGGCGGTTCATAATGACATAACGCCCAGCTCCATCTAGGCAGCACGTAACAATATGGCGCCCAAATGAGAAAAAAATATTGTCCTGTCATACAACATTTTTTGTGCAATACCAACGTGTCAAAACATTATGGTGGCAAGGACAGTTATTTTCGATTCGTGCAATAATACCTTAGCACAAAGCAATAGACGATAGGGTTAATAGATAAAAACGATATATCGCATTTTCTAAGTGCTAACAGATATTGTATCCACTTATTTGTTTTAAAATCTGTGATAACTGTGCAATATTTAGTTTAGATAATTAGAAAATTAGGATATATCGTTCCATAAGTTAGGGTCTAGTGCAGTAGCTCTTGTTCTTTAATTGTAACAAAGAATATATTGTGTTAATGACCTGTGTTTTTATGTCGATGTTTAATTATTTTTGTAGAGTAGGTACAATAGTTTAAGGTTGACATTAGGGGAAATGTGCAATATCTGCAGTGACGATGAGTGTCACTGACTGTATTGTGCAATAAGTACTCTGTACACGCTGACTTTTTTCGTCAAAATTGAAGAAAAATTTCGTGGTGTTATCCTTTAAATTCGTGTTCATAAATGTTTGTTTAAGTCCAGTCTCTCAACACGCCATGACAAACTTTTTAGGACACTTAAAATTAAATGTTTATTTGATTGCAAATCAATTGAAAACCACACGCTTTATCCACATCAGTTACTGAAAATACACCCTAGGACCTCTAATATATGTCATTTGTGTTGTATTAGTAACCTAATTTTGTTGTTCAAGTAACCTAAGTGTAATTATTTTGTGTTTTACTAATTATTAAATTATTCTACTTTATTTATTCATATATGTTTGTATTTTTGTTATCATTATTTTTAGTATTTTTTTTTTGTCTAGTAGTTTTAAATTTATGTAGTATATTAAACAAATATTAGCCAACGTTTAAATCAATAATTTCCACAATTCTTATTCATTCTAATATTTAAAAAAAAATCCATAATAAAAATTTCAAATTTCTGATGAGCGACAATACCGAAAGAAATAAAGAAGCGGGTCTTAGAAAAAAGAAAAGCAAGAGAAATCGGTTATTGACTTTCGACTCAAGCCGCACCTCGATTTCTTCGCCCTTACCTAAAGTAAACAAAAAACGACTAATAATAATAGTTCTTGTCCGTCAATTCGAGATCTCTCTGGCACAATAACTAATGTTAAACCCAGCACAAGTGCTGCGGCCAGATTGAGACAAAATGATCCCCAACCAGCAAATCAGCCGACTCACCCAGTAGAGGTAGATATTTTAGTGAGAAGCCTAGTGAATGAAAGCTTGGCACAGGCCAATAATAACCTCCGAGGTTTAGTGCAGGAGAGCGTTAGTAGGGAAATGGAACAAGTATATAGTGTCATAAATAGACTCAGTGATGTTTTGTCCAAAATGCCCATTTCTGAACAAAAAGAATTCAAAATCCTACAGCGTCTTCACAGAATGACATTCCGAGACACCAGTCACTACCTCAAGACAACAACAGATCTGATAATTATATGAATCAGGTACCCCAACAAAATCGAGACCATAGCCCCAATTTTAGTCGCAGGAATACGGTCAGTTTTAAGTTTTTCCAGTGGTCAAGGCATAAGAGTGGAAGGGTTTGGACTGAATTTTTCAGGCCGACCAAATAGCCTCTCAGTAGAGGACTTTATTTATCGTCTTGAGTATTTTCAGCAGCACTACTATCTAGATAGTTTGACATTTTGAACGAGATTCATATTTTATTGTCAGGACCAGCTTACGAAGGGTTCTGGTTACAACAGAGAAGCAACAATATGTCAGATTGGAACTCATTGACGCATGGACTCCTAGAACGCTTTAAAATCAGGCGTACGTGTTTTGAGGAACTGAGGGATTTGTTGGAACGCAAACAATTACCAATGAGACCATCGATGAATTTTTTCACGACATAAACTCTAAGCGGTCAAAGTTGCAAAGGCCAGTGTCTGAATTTGAAATTATATCGCTGGTTAAAAAGAATTTACGGAAAAATCTGTCCAGCATAGTTTATTCTATGCCAGTGTCATCCCTCGAACAGCTACGAGTGGAATGTTTAGGAATTGAAGGAACTTTTTTTCATCGCGACTCAGCCCCAAACCCATCTTCATATTTCAATAGGCATGTTAGAGTTCATGCGATTCAAGAAGAAGATGAAGTAAGAAACATTCAAGTCTTTGAAGAAGAAATAGTTGAGGTTTCTGAAATAACTTTAATATGCTGGAATTGTCAAAAACCTGGGCATGGTTTTAGGGACTGCACTTCGGCCCAAAGAAATTTGTTTTGTTTTAAATGTGGCAAGCATGACACAGTCACCCCGAGATGCTCTAACTGTAGGACGGGAAACGGGTGGTCGAACATGGTTGCAGCGGGGAACCATCGTTCTTCAGGGAAACCCGCAATTCAGGACCTTCACTCAAATTAGATACTTCTAATAACGAAGATATTTTCGGAAAGATCCGGCATTATTTGCCATTAAACGTTAGGGAAGAAAACTAAAGCTAAAACAAAATCAAAAATATTTGGGAGAAATTCAAAAATATTTGGTGAGAAGTCTAAGGCATATAAAGCTAACCACGTCTCAGTGAATCGGGTATACGTGGACCGTTGTGCGTAGACCTGGCAAAAACAGATTTTGCTTAGATGCCAGAAAGCTGAATGCCGTGACAGTAAAAGATGCCTACCCACTATAAAATATAGACGGTATCCTCAGCAGAATAGACCAGACACATTATATAAGCAGCTTCGACCTAGAATATGTCTTCTGGCAGATAGAGTTAGAAGATGAAGCCAAGCCATATACTGCGTTCACAGTTCCAGGTCGACCGCTGTACCAATTCCGGGTAATGCCGTTTGGCTTGTGTAATGCGGCTCAAAGATTATGTCGATTAATGGACAAAATGATACCGGGGAGGCTCAAGTCTAATGTGTTTATTTATTTCGACGATCTTTTAATAATCGCTAATGACTTCGAATACCACCTTAAATTGTTGAAAGACGTTGCAGAATGCCTACAGAAAGCCAATCTCACCATCGGATTGAATAAGTCTTTATTTTGCTTCAGAGAGTTACGTTATCTCGGATACATAATTGGAAATGGAAGCTTAAAAACCGACTCTGAAAAGATCAAGGCAATACTGAAAATCCCGATACCGAAGTCGCCTAGAGAAGTTCGGAGACTTATAAAGGATTTTGCCTCAGTGTCAGCGCCCCTAACAGATGCGCTAAAGAAAGGCCAGAAATTTTCGATGTCTCCCGAAGCCATTGAATCTCAAACTCTCAAACACAGTCCTCAGACACCCCGACTTTCACCAAGAATTTTTTATTCAATGTGATGCATTTGAATACGGTGTCGGGACCGTCCCATTTCAAAAAATGATGAAGGCGATGAAAATCCTATTGCATTTTATTCGCAAAAACTAAATCCCTGCCAAAGAAATTACACTGTGACAGAAAAAGAGTGTTTAGCGGCTGTGTTAGCTGTAAAGAGATTTCGACCTTATGTCGAACTCATGAAGTTCACAATTATAACCGACCATGCAAGTCTTAAGAAGCTGATGTCACTTAAGGATGGAAGACTTGCACGGTGGTCTTTGCAACTACAAACGTACGATTTCTCAATCGAACACCGAAAGGGGCACATTATCTCGATCGCCCATTGACTCAGATTTGATAGTAGAAGAAATAGATATAGATCTGAATTTCGAAACGACGGCTTTCGACGATGAATAGTATATAGAACTTCGAGATACGATACTCAAAAACCAAGAAGTATTACCCGACTTGAGAATAGCAGACAACAAAATCTCCATAAGGAAAATAAATTTCGATTCGGATATAGAAGAATTCGAGTGGAAATTATAGGTACCTCTAACCATAACGCATGCCCTGATAGAGAACGCGCATAATTATAACGATACAGTACATGACGGCATCAGCAAGACACTTAATCGTCTTAAAACTTTTACTACTGGCCTAAGATGGTGTCACAGGTGAGACAGTATGTCAGAAATTGTGATATTTGCAAGGAAAGCAAATCATCAAACCAGCACCTGAACCCTACAATCGGCAATAAAGTGGTGGCGGAAAGAACATTTCATAAATTGTACGTGGATTTTCTTGGAAAATATCCTCGATCGAAAAAAGAAAACGCGTACATTTTTATTGTGGTAGAGCACTTCACAAAATTTACGTTCCTGAACGCGATGAAGGAAGCAGCATCTCAAAACGTTGTCAAATTTTTAGAGGAACAGGTATTTCATATCTTCGGCATACCAGAGGTTATCCACAGTGATAACGGAAAACAATTTACATCGAAAGTATTTGAAAGGATGATTAAGAATTACAAGATTCAACACCTGACCACAGCATATTATTCTCCTCAGTCAAATGCTTCCGAGCGAGTAAACCAGTCGGTACTGGCGGCTATCAGAACCTATGTGGAAAATGACCATCGCGACTGGGATTTATATTTAACAGAAATTGCACCAGCGCTTCGTACATCCGTGCATTCTTCTACCGGTGTAAATCCTTTCTTCGCCCTTTTTGGGTATAATATGTTTACAAATGGATCTGATTATAAGCTTGCCAAAAAGTTAAAATCACTCACTGACCACTAAATAGATGATCTAAATAGGAGCGACAAATTAGAACTGATGCGAGAGAAAATAAAAAGCAATATGCACAAAGCATTTGAAAATAGTGCAAAACGCTACAACCAAAGAGCACGTATAATTAGTTTATTGCCAGGTCAAGAAGTTTATCGACGTAATCACATGCTGTCTGACTTTAAGAATAATATTAACGCGGAATTCGGGAAAAAGTTTCTAAAATGTAGAGTTGTTAGACCCATTGGGAATAATATGTATGAATTAGAAACACTCCAAGGTAAACCGCTAGGGAATTTCCATGCCAAAGATATAAAAATTTTAAAGTGCAATAATTTCTGTGATACTAGTAATAAAAAGTGCAATATAGATTAAGGAAATCAATGTTTGTGAACGTCCATTTCTTTACTTATTTTGCTGCTGTAATTATTAGTACCAATTATTGACATGTTTTACAATTTTTATCTTTCATTAGGCTAAGAAATATCCTTGATTGCCCGGCTTGTTTTATTTCAGGGTGTGGGAGTTCCCCACGTTGGGACAGAAGCAATAGCAGACCAGAAGCATAAAGAAATAAAACGACCTTGACTAAGTTGAGATTGCATTAAAAATGAGGAAAGTATTTTTGAGGATCTTAAGAAGTTAGTGAGAAAGTGTGATATTATTTTTGAAAAATTCCCACCACTGTACTATAACTATAAAATATTCTTAGAAATTGACCCAATCTAGCCCAAACTTGAGTTGTTAATGGCCCGAAACCGCAGAAAAATAACTTTATATATGAGGTATAATTTGACTATAATAAAATTGAGTAATATTATAATATAGTTTATAAATGATAATAAAATAATTTATTTTATCATGCTGCGATGAAAGGATATGTAGTATGGCGGCTCTGATTTATAGTATATTCCAACATTTTTTTATATATATTCGACATACTCGGTGGATGTATTTCACCACCAGAGTAAACCACTAGTATTTTTTTTACAATCCCACGGCGGCCGGTTCTATGTACCGGATTGACTTGGAGGCACATTTCTCCGACCAGAGGCCGCCAACCCAGCAAATACATGTTCGTGTTCGTCCATTTTTCTGATGTGGGAGCAACATTACCCGGAATGTTTGCTCCGTATTCTCTTGGTCCGAGCCGGGATCGAGACCAACCCCGGACCATGGTTCTGCTCCGTTTGTCGTAATCGCATCCACCACAGATCGGTTTCGGTGAGATGCAACGGATGTATGGAGTGGGTGCATTTCCGGAATTGTTCCGGCCTAAACTGGATACAGGAGTATAGCGATAGGGACTACATTGCTTCCTGCTGCGTCAATGTAGACCCCAGTGAGTCTTCATCTTCGGCGTCCTCATCGTCGTCGCAATATGAGACTCCCCCGCAATCTCCTCAACAGCAATCTACGCAGCAGTTCACACCGCACATTGCTGTTCAGGTTCCGGATAATGCATCATTTCTCCAATTTAATTGTGATGGTCTCAGAGGTAAGATTAACGAAATTGTAAGCTTTATGAGTCGGAAGAACATCAAGGTCGCAGCGATCCAGGAAACGAAGCTGAGTACCACCTGCAGGCTTCAAAGTTGTGATGGATACAACGTACGGAGGAAGGATCGCTCCAGAGGTGGAGGATTAGCGTTCCTATTGCAGCACTCTGTCCAGTACAGACCTATCACGCCTGAGCTTGACTCTAGTGACCCGTACATGGAATGTATGGGGGTAGCGGTCAAGTGTGAAACAGCCGAGGTAGAGGTGCTCAACGTGTACATTCCGCCGTTAAATAGCTGTGCCCCACGTTATATGCCTAATATCAGTTCACTACTGGTAGGCAATAACCGTCTGGTGCCCATCATGAATTATGGCATTCCGTCCTAGGTAATGACCAGAGAGGCATGGCTCTGGCTGAGCAAATTGATAGCTCCACGTTTTGCACAGTGAATGAGGACGCGCCCACCAGAATAAGGGGAGACTGCTACAGTTCTCCGGACATATCCATCGTGTCCCCAGGTCTGACGAATGACGTAACTTGGCAATCAGTCATTTCTCTAGGCTCAGACCACCTCCCCATTATTATCGCCATGAACAGACCACCCGACTTCATTGACTCTGAACGCCGCATTTTCCTTAACCATGGGAAAGCCAATTGGCAAGAATTCAGAGAGTATACCAATCGCCGCTTCAGAGAACTGCCCAACCCATCTGATGTTCAGGTAGCAGATAGGTGTTTCCGGGACATCATCAAAGCTGCAGCCGCTCGCTATATACCTGCTGGTCGAATACCTGAAATAAGACCAAATTTCCCAGCAGAGGCAGCGGGATTACCAAACGAGCGAGATGAGCTTCGCCAGCCGAGGAGGTACCACCACAATTTACGTTGGCAGATTTTGCACAGGTCATCAGAAGCGCAAAGTCATGCAAAGCGCTTGGTCTGACGGAATCTCAATGGTGATGTTGAAGCAACTAGATGAACCAGGAGTTCAGTATCTTACAAAGCTTCTCAATCTGTCGTTAGCCACCCTAGTAGTTCCCGATGCCTGGAAATGGGCAGGGTGGTCCCGCTACTGAAGCCAGGCAAGGATGCCAGCAAAAGTGATTCATACAGGCCGATATCACTTTTGTCACCAGTAGCATAGACGCTTGAGGCTTTACTCCTCCCCAGCATAAGAGAGTGTTTCCCAGTAGCCGATCATCAACACGGATTCCGAAAATTGCACAGCAGAACAACAGCTTTACACGCCATTTCCACACATGTCAGCAGAGGTCTCAACCAGAACAGGCCGTGCGATAGAACAGTTATGGTGGCACTTGATTTATCAAAAGCCTTTGATACAGTCAATCATGCCACACTGTTCGAAGACATTGAGCGCACCACCCTCCGGCCAAGTTTGAAACGTTGGATAGTAAACTACATGTGTAGACGCCAGTCGTACGTGGAATTCAGAAACAAGAAGTCGAGCATCCGTAGAGTTAAACAGGGAGTTCCCCAAGGTGGGGTGATATCTCCGGAACTGTTTAACCTCTACCTTTCTGACATTCCACGCCCTCCAGACGGCATAGAGATTATAACGTACGCAGATGATTGTACGCTCGTGGTGTCCGGACCCATTATTGATGACATTTGCGATCGGTTAAACGCTTACCTTGTTGATCTTATCGCCTTTTTCACTGCGAGGAATATGAAGATATCCGCCACTAAGTCGACGGCCACACTTTTCACCACATGGACTGCGGAGATGGGGCTATCCATGAATGTGCAGGTCGATGGTGCTATTATTCCGACCACCAACTACCCCAAGGTATTAGGGGTCACATTCGATAGCCTCTTTAAGTCGTCCGCGCATACCACAGCTATCTGCGACAAGTTTAGAAGTAGGGACAAGGTCCTTAAGTCTCTGGCCGGCAGTACTTGGGGAGCTGGTAAGAAAACCTTGTTGACCTCTTACAACGCGATAGGCCGGTCTGTGATAAACTATGCGGCTCCAATGTGGTCCGCCAACGTCAGTGCTACTCAGTGGAAAAATGTTCAGTCCTGCCAGAATGCCGCCCTTAGAACCGCAACAGGGTGCCTTCTCATGACACCTGTCGATCACCTACATGAGGAGGCGAAGGTCTTACCGGTGCGACAGCATAACAAAATGCTGTCAATGCAATACCTGCTTGGGTGTTATAGACAAAGCCATCCAAATCACCATCTTGTGGATAGGCAACCTCCGCCCAGGCACGTTAGGAAAGACCTTCATGATCTAGAGAAAGAGGTACAGAGGTATACGAGAGAGCCTCTAGATCAACAGGCCTATCAAGCGGGACTGAATAGTATTCACTCTAATGCGGTCCCAGAAGCCATTCAAGGATATAGAGTGAATACTGTGCTTGGAGACCATCCCCCTCCCGTCGCAGCTGAAGAACGAGAGCTGCCCCGACAAATTCGAGTAGTTTTGGCTCAATTACGATCCGGATGGTGCAGCCGCCTAAATTCCTACTGGGCACAGCATGTGGCACAGGCCCACATGACACGCTGCACCTATTTCGCTGCCCAGCGAAGCCTACTCACCTAACTCCAGTCTCGTTATGGACACAAACCATACAGGTTGCATCCTTTTTGAGGCTGGAGCCAGAACCTGATTGAATTGAGTCAGAAAATGGAAACCGAACGAACACAGATGTATGAGCTGCTACAACAACAACTAGTGTTTTTATGATAGTGTCTCAAATACGACGGACTTCATAAATCTTTTAAAGTTGTTGTTTGTTGTTGTTTATAAGAGATATTCCCTGTAAATCTTTTTTGGGCGTATGTGGAATACATCATTGAGCAATCCAATTCCATACTACAGTCTCACACCTCATTTTGTTTTTCTTGTCCGTCCGTTCACTTATCATAATAAAAACTGACGCAACAAATTTTTGACCCCTTCCAATCGCTGGTGATTCCATACACAGGTGATGCGAATAGTCAGGTAGAAGATGATGTTGTTTCCCACAGGTGTGCCATTTAATTGATATGTGTCAAAGTATCTTTCCATTTATCGGGCTGTGCTCCCAGGTATCCTAAGGTACATAAAAGGTAGAATTAGTAAAAAGCAAATAATAGTATGAAAGAAATAAAAAAACGTTCAAATGACAAGCACAAAATTTTAATGAATCGATTTTCGGACGTCAGTTTTTAATTAAAAAGTAAAAATTCTCTAAAATTGAATTTACTAGCAATTACCTTTATGCCTATGTTTGGCACTGCCACTTTTCACACAAATTGTCCGTTAATATAATTTTATTTGTAACACCAATCTTTTTTACTTCATACGCTAACCCCAAATCTCAACTACTCCGTAAACACACAGCTTACCTGTTGTTTCACTGCCGCTATAACATGTTGCGACCTCTTTCAGAAACGAAACCGCATACTTTCCACATTCATTTCCTCAAGTCTAGGCATAAATACTGGGTATCATTTCACGATGCCGAACAAAATCGTTTGTTCGTGCTTCAGCGCACTTTCAAACAAACAACACAACACACAAAGCAAATATCACTCGAGAATCTTCCTCACCGCCAAGGCAATAATTTTTCCATGATGTTTCTCGTACTAACAATCAATTTGTTGGTTGTTGTTGTTGTAGCAGTAGTACATGTATATGTTTGCGTTCTGCTAATCTGGTTCCAGCTCCAGGTTTAGAAATTCGGCTACTTTAACGGGCTGTAGCCAGAGATCTTCTGGAGTGAGTTGGGTAGGTTTGGCTGAGCAATTAAAAAGGTGTAGCGTATTGTGGGGGGTTGTAACGCACGCCGGGCAGGCGTCACGCACATCTTCATCAAATTGTGCCCAATACGAATTGAGACGACTACACCATCCTGAACGTAATTGCGCCAAAACTACCCCGGTTTGTCTAGGCAGCTGACGTTCTTCAGCTGCAATGGATGGGGGGTGGACTCCGAGGATGGCATTGACTTTATAACTGCTAATAGCATCCGCGACTGCATCGGTGTGAATGCCACTCAGACCTGCCTGGTAGGCTTCTTGATCTAGAGGTTCTCTCCTGTAGCGCTGGACCTCCCTCTCTAGATCATGTACGTCCTTCCTGACACGCCTGGGTGGGGGATACTTATCCACCATAAGATGGTTGGGATGACTCTCACGGTAACACCCAGCAGGTACTGCAACGAAAGCATATGATTATGCTGACGTAAGGGAAGGACTTTCGCCTCGTCATGTAGATGGTCCACTGGTGTCATGAGGAGGCACCCTGTCGCAGTTCTCAGGGCAGCGTTCTGGCAGGTCTGGATATGCTTCCACTGCGTAGCACTAGTATTCGCAGACAACACTGGAGCCGCATGGCTGACCACAGACCGACCTATCGCGTTATAAGAGGTCAACAAGGTTTCTTGTCCGCACCCAAGAGCTGCCGGCTAGCGCCTTGCGGACCTTGTTCCTACTTTTCATCTTGTCGCAGATAGCTGTGGCTTGCGCGGACGACTTGAACATGCTGTCGAACGTGACCCCAAGAATCTTGGGGTAGTTCGGGGTCGGTATTAGATTCCCCTCGACCTGAGCATTCAGCTGTGTTCTCATCTCCGCAGACCATGTGGTAAAGAGTGTGGCCGTTGATTTCGTGGCGGATATTTTCATATTCCTCGCGTGGAAGTATGCGGCAAGCTCCGTGAGATAGGGGTTCAACCTTTCGCATATGTCATCGACCACTGGACCCGACGCCATGATCGTACAATCATCCGCATACGTTACGATCTCAATGCCGTCTGGAGGGCGAGGAATTCCGGAAAGGTAGATGAACAGTTCCGGAGATATCATCCCACTTGGGGAAGATATCATCCCACCTGGGAAGTGACTGAGGTCCTATCATCCTTTTTTCCAGGGTTCGAGAGCGACTTAACCGTTACCCACAGCTTACTCATATCGGTTCCAATGTTGCAGCACTTCAGATGGTCTAGCCACGATTGACTTCCACTGTCAAATCACTGTTTCTAGGATCAGTAGGATTGGTACGACGGAGATCATCTCGCCCGTTTGAGCTTTCCCATGGTTAAGGAAAGTGCAGCGTTCAGAGGTTATGAAATCGGGCGACCTGCTTATGGAGACGATTATCGGGAGGTGGTCTGAGCCAAGAGAAATGACGGGTTGCCAAGTCACGTCATTTATCAGACCGGGTGACACTATGGATAAGTCTGGCGATCTGTGACACTCTCCTCTTATTCGAGTGGGGCATCCTTGTTAACCGTGCAGATTGTGGATTATCTAGGACGGAATACCACAACTCATGGTGGGCATTAAAATCCCCTAGTACCAGGCGGTTATTGCCTACCAATAATGGGCTAATATCAGGCAAATAACGCGGTTCACAGCTATTAATCGGCGGGATATACACATTAAGCACCTCTACCTCGGCAGTTCCACACTTGACTGCTACCCCCATACATTCCCTGTATGGGTCACTAGAGACTAGCTCAAGCGAGATAGGTCTGTACTGAACAGAATGGTGTAACAGGAACGCTAATCCCCCACCTCCACTTCTGGTGCGATCCTTCCTTAGTACGTTGTAACCATTACAACGTTGTAGGCTGCAATTTTCATTCAGCTTGGTTTCCTGCACCGCTGCGATCTTAATATTCCTCCGACTCATAAATTCCACTATCTCATCTATTTTGCCTCGAAGTCCGTTGCAATTGAATTGCAAGAATGATGCACAATCCGAAGTTGGAATAGCAACATGTGGCGTTAGGTGCTGCGGTGTTGGTTGCTGTTCTGGAGACTGCTGTAGTCTCGCAAATGCCTTAGTCCGGAACAGTTCTTAAAGTGCATCCATTACATCGCACCGAAACAGATCTGTGGTGGATGACGTTCTGACAATCCGATCAGAACCAAGGTCCGGGGTTTTCCTCAATCCCGGCACGGACCACTAAAATCCGGAGCAAGCATTCCGGGACATGCTGCTCCCAATGCAGAAAAATAAACAAACACAAACATGTACATACTGGGTTGGCAGCCGCTGACCGAAACTGGGATCTTGTTGTTTCGGGTCAATCCGGTATCGCAGAGCCCGCTGCCGTGGGATTGATCAATTTGTTGGTAATATCTGAAGGTTGGTGTCCACAAGGGGAATATGTGTAGCACTCCATTTTTAATTACCTTGTAATTTGCTTAGCTGCCAACAACTTTTATGTCAAAATGTCACCCCATTAGTAACCTGAAATAGTAAAGACGATATTAAAGATAAATTTTCAATAGTCACCATAGAACAAAAAATTTTCAAATTAAAATGTGTACGAATAAATAATTTTACAACTGCTTACCTGTGTCCTGTCCACTTTAGAAATGTCCGTGATTCTAGCTGGTAGCATGCATTTCCTTAAGATTGGCATATCCCGATTTAAATCCAGTTTTATTTCAGTCATCACTGAGAGATTTTTCAAAATACCATTCCATAGGTCATGCACATCATCATTTCCAGCGTTTGCCTTGGAAATGTTGAAGTTTGTTGCATGTGACCCAGAAATGTTTAAATTTTAATAAATTTATTACCAGCACCTTTGTGTATAGTTGCTGTCTTCTTTGGCCGGCAAAAAATGAGAGAGCCGGATATGCGAAGTGGCCGGGTCATGTACAGAATTTCAGCGTTGCCACCCATCACTGTAAGTGAAGCGAAGAATGCAACTATGTAGGGTGTAGGGATATGTAGGTGCGGTTCAAAGGAAAAAACGAATAAACTGAGGAAAAATCCGCGAAAAATGTGAAAAGAGAAAAAAACTATAAAAAGGCGTAGCGGGGAAAATTTCGTGAATGCGTCTTGTTCTGTTGTGGAAAAATACCATTTGTCCGGGAATTAAGCCCCATCGTCAAAATAAAGTAACAGTGGAATATTTGTTAAATTTAATGTCAAATTGTGGTGTGTTTATTTGTGTTCGTTTTGGATAATTTAATTTATGTGTACGTGCGAACAAAATAGTAAAGTCGCGCCAACTATAGCCCCGAACAAGAAACATTGGCTCCTCCAGACTTCTTCCTGGAGGTGGTCAATTTTGGCAAAAACCCGGAATTTCTGGAAACCCCGCCAGGATAAACAGCTGCCCAATTTGTGTTTAAATTTGTTCCCGTGATTATCTTGTTTGGCTGATGGAAACTGGCCTTGTTTGAGTTAGCAGCAAAAACCATTTTGATGTCCTAAAAGTAGAAAAAGTCGATAAGTACCGGCGATAAAAAGGTAAAATTATACATTTTCTCATACTTACCTAACAAGCCGAGATTCTCCTGTAAAAAATTGGCAGTTGCCTCCAATTACCGTTCAGAATTAAGCGCCAAAAGCTTCCATGATGCGCTGAAAATTTCTGAAAATTTAACAAACAAACAATATAACATTAAATTTACATTGAATTGAGACATTTAAAATCACAACAACAGAGACGAACAAAATATGACCAATTATATTTATGGAACAGTGTGGCTTGTTTGTTCGGGATACCGTAGTATTTTGTTGTTGCAAAATGGTCTGGCTTTATCCCTTTATTGTTGTTTTTATAAAAACAACGTTTGTTATTAGTGGAGAACGATGGTAATGTTTACCAGGAGGTAAGGCAGGGAATACCTAGGTTTCGGAAAGAGCCACCAATCCTCATCAGTTCCCTTGTTTTTGTCTGGGATATTCTCCCCAGAAGTTATTTTAAAATAACTTCTATGACAAAAAACATTTTTTTACCCAAGTGACGAGATCGTAAGCTCAATAGAAGAGGAACCAAATAATTAAATAAAACTAAAATTCTCTTGGAAAGTCTTCTAAATCTTACAACCGCACTTATAAACATTTACATCTTTCTCCACTTGTTATGCTTTCGTTCAGCCTGAACGAAGTAGCATAACCATGTAAGTTGGTTTTGTCTGTTACAACAAAAACCCCTTCGTCGACCGTGCCTTGTCTATTAATAGATTATATTTATGTTTTAATGTTAGGTTAACTGTGAACGTCCATTATTAGTAAGTTAGTATATAAGGTTCTGTTAAAACATACATAAATATTTTTTTTATTGTTCTATAAGAGTTTTAATTACTATCTAGGCGGCTTCCTTCAAGTTCATGTACTTGCAAGGAATTAATTTGGATACTAAGTGTCAGTTCAAATTTATGTGTTTGAATTGAATCGCACTAGATCCTACTATCAAAACATTTCTTGGTGACCCCGACGTGATTGAACCCCGGTCTCCCGCGTAAGCTGGTAAACAGGAGATCGTGAGTTGCGGTTCGTCTTCTCTCTGTTCGAAACGGTTGGTCACACTTCCATTAATTGTGACAAATATACTTGTATGTTATTACACACACAGTAGTAGTATTCTAAGAATATACATATTTCTTTCTCACATGGAAAGCCTCAAAAAAATATCAAACAAAACATAAGAAAATCTTCAAAAACCACCAAAACAAAAACCAAGAAGCTCCAAACTTCCAAAAAACAGTAGAGAAGAGTTGTGATAGTTTTTCAAAAAATGTTTTGATAGTAGGATCTAGTGCGATTCAATTCAAACACATAAATTTGAACTGACACTTAGTATCCAAATTAATTTCCTTGCAAGCACATGAACTTGAAGGTAGCCGCCTAGATAGTAATTAAAACTCTTAGTTAGTCACTACAAAAGACGACTGAATTTCTTTATTTCTGGCTGTCTTTATATACATAATTTCCTAACATAATTAATTAAAATGCTATGATAATGCTGATATAAATTAATTGTAATGTAGGTCGGCTACTAGTAGACATTAAATGCTATGTAAGCAAAATAAATAAATGTGTTAAAGAAACTTAAAACATTGCAAAAGTGAATGAACCAATGGCCAATGAACTAAAATAAAGAAAATTAACTGTAACAATAAATAGTCCAAATATGTGATATTATAATGCTGTATAAAGCAGTTTAAAACTTATAAATATGTAGGTGTGCTTGATTTTTGTATTTATTGTTTGTTTTGGTAATAATCTAGAGTATGTTATAGAACAATAAAAAAAATATTTATGTATGTTTTAACATTCTCCGCCACGTTGACATTGTTCAAGTAATGAGTGCGCCTGGGTTGGATGCATGTGGGAATGACTCCATTGTAACATCGATGTTGATTGATGAGATCTTATAGCTGGTGTAGGTATGAATTGAGATGGCTTCTTAAATTTTGTGTGGATCCTCCAACTCAGCAGGCCAAGTAAAAAAAGAATGCAGCAAGCTAAAGATGCGTAGCTAACTGCATGATGATGTTGATTTGATGAGTGTATTAATTGTGGTAGGTGTTTTAGAGTTGATTCATGCAACTGTTCTTGTATATTATCCACTCTTCTTGATGAATCTTGTAAGAGGTGGTATTGGTATTTGTTGAAACCTTTTCAATTTCCTCTTGTCGACTTATATTTGAATGCCTTTCAATCTGTCATTTTGTACTGCAACTATTTTGAACAACTCAAAACTGTTGGTTAACTAAGGGTATCTTCACTTCAAAAATGATTTCATATTTTGTAACTGCCCCTTTGACACTCATAAGCTTATAAAGTTGAATCAAATTGTCACCTGATGTTGGCAAAGCATGTGAAATTGGAAGATTAGCCTTAAGACACTAATTTCTTCTTTCAATTGATGAGGAGCCATAACAGGGGACTTATTTTTCCATGATGAGTATCAGTAAGTACATTAATGATTTCGGCCTGTGTTCTCTGTAAGATTATTGCGGATAACATCAAATGCGTTCGATAGAAGTCCAAACAGTTGAGAATTGTTGAATTGGGCGGATTCTTCAGCTATATCGTTATTGTGTTTGTCAATCATTTTCAAAATCTCCCGTATTTTTGATGAGTGTTAATCTCATCCTGTTTTATAACATTAATAGTTGAATCAATTATGAAGTCTGATTTTTCAATAGACTGATTATGTGGTCCTGTTCGCCTTTTGCCTGGTGATAGTCTTTGACATTTCTTCTGCATAGTCCGTATCAAGAACGCCAAAAAGTGAGTGCGCAATATTCCCAATTATGTTGAATGGAGATCTTTTTACACGTTTGTTGATGATAATTCTTTGTCTTGTAGTAATTCATTTTTCGTCCTGCTTCAGGTTGATTACAAAATGTGCACATCTCATGCTGATGCATTACATGGCACATTTGCTGCAACGTTTGTAAGCCGGATGCCAATGACTCTATTTCCGAAACAAAGGGCTTTAAGTCATAATATACTAGCATCTTCCATTCTGCCGTATGCAGTTTCAGTTCTCAAACCCTTCAAAATATAATCCCGGATCATTGTGAAATTGTGTAACTTTCAAATTGTTGCACAGGACCATAGGTATTAGGAACAATGTTAATAATACTTATAGTATTATAGGACTGTTTGCAATTCTCACTCTTTTTGCCGGAATGACATCTCTTCCATGTCATCTGTTACCGGCTTTTTCTTGTGGGAAATTGTGCTTTCTTGAGTTGTATCTTTGTCAATTACAGCATTATCATGATCTTCTGGAAACAGTGGTGCTAGTCGATGGATGGCCCGCTTGAATACTCCGGTGGGGGTTTTTATTTCAGCAACTCTTACAGCTCCGTCATCACCGAAAAATACGTTAAGAACTCTCCCTAATGGCCACTTCATTGGAGGTAGATTGTCTTCCTTTATAATGACCATATCTCCTTTTCTAAGATTGGGCATCTTTTGCTCCATTTGTTACGTGCTTGGAGTTCATGTAGGTATTCTTCCGACCACCTTTTTC